TACTACATCCCAGAATCGGTTGGTGACAATTAATATTCCGGCATGTTGTAATTCTTCATTGTTGTGTACATTTGGATCTGCTGAATGTAAACCTAAGCGCTTCATTTTTTTTAACGTGTTATGTCTGGGACTCTTTACGAAACCAAACGAAAAAACTGACGATTTTTCATTTCGGATAGGTTCTAATTTGAAAGATCTCACTAAGGTATCTTTAATAAATGATCTTTCACTACATTTATCAAGAAGAATTTGAACAACTTCAGTTTCGTTTTCATTGCAAACTAAACCAGTACATTTTTGTAATAAAGGATTTTTTGAAACAGAAATATTACACTGAGAAACCAAAGTGTTAGTATTAGCATTCGACACTAAAGGTTTCTTTCTTGAACTCGTGGCAATTGATTCATTTTCAGATAAATTACATGAATTTGATTTTTCCTCATTACCTTTCAAACAGATAGATTCATGATGATTTTTGCCATTACATTTACTACATACATTTTTATCTCTGCAAAAACGTTTCAAATGAAATTTATTAAAACATTTAAAACATCAATTATGCGCTTTGAGAATATTTATTTTCTCAGTTACCTATTTTCAGCATTTAAAAGAATCGTGGTGTTTCTCACAGAAGATGCATACTTGCTGTACTGTAGTGTTAAATGCACTAGATGTGGGTGTATTTCTGTTGTGTCTTTATTTACAGCTTTCTGATTATAATAATTAGTAAACATTTTATTTTCACCACAAGCCAGTAAAGTACTTTCGTGACATTTGACCTTCTTCTTTAAGGATAAAATGAATTTAGAGATGTCAACGTCGCCGTCATCTCTTTGTCTGTTAAATTCTAAAATTAGATCGTGGGGCAAGCTTTATTTCAAAATAGGCATGTCCAAAAGGGTCTGATGTAAGATTTATTACTTCTAAATTTCGAATAGAGATCTCATGCTCATAATAAATTCTGTGTAACCCTGAAACATTAGAAGAATTTTTTATTTCTTCCAAATTTAGTATTTTATTTATAAAGGAATTTATAATGATATCTTTTCCAAACTTATCTTTCAGAATTTTTATGCAGTTGTCATAATTATCATTAGATAATTTGAATCTTGAAACAAAATTGGCAGCTTGACCAATTAAAAAGGATTAAGATATGTAAATTTTTCAACTTTAGAAATGCTTTCGTTTTTATCAATCATACTTTCGAAGCTATTCCAAAAATTTTGCCAATGTTTTAGATCTCCAGAAAATTTTTCAGTTACTAACTTTGGCAATTTAACTGAACATTGATTTCTTAAATTTTCACTTAAAGAGACATTCGTACTTTGATAATGCAAATCACTTGAAGCTGACTCAATCTTAGTTTTGCTTTCAAGGTAACAAAATATTCTACTTGAGTATTTCAATCATTTCGCTTTATATTTCTGACTTGCCATAACCTCTTTCTCCAATTAATCAGCTATAATGGAAGTTTTGATTTCACTGTTGAGAGCTTTCAGTTAGTTTTTTCTTTCCATTAAGAGTTCGTAATCAACTCTTAAATCCTGCTCATCAAGTTCCTCTCCTGATTTTAATTTATCATCAATTTGATTAATTAACTGGGTTGTTAATTTTCGAACTCTTGTTCTTTTAGCTTTTGCTTGTTCTAACGCTGCCATTTTTTTATTATTGTACAATAGAAATACATCCAAGAATAAAAAATAAATATCAAATGAGAGCCTACCTTTTATTTCCTCCTAGGCATGATTTAGTAATCCAAGAGTCCCGGCTATTCCCAGCCAATGCACCATATGAAATTATGCTAATCCAAAACTTGTAACTATCAACATTGTTACTTTCGTGTCCTTCAATGGTTCAGGTTTGTATATAACAAGCAGTGAAAGGCTCAGTTTAGAACACAACAACAAATAATTTATTTACAAGGTTACTGAAATAGTGCATAGTATTAATTTTGCTGCTAATTATTAGGGGCAGCAACAACCCTTACAAACATTACTAATCATAGTTAAGCACATCTTATTAGTACAAATTCCAATCCTACACTGAAGAAACAGGCAGGGTACAGCACCCTCTACAGGCATTTCATAACAAGGTGTACTCTAAACAGGTATTTTTTAGTGACATCGTATCATGCAAACCATAGCACTTGATTACCTGCAATTAAAATAAGAACCATATTTATGTTTTGCCTTTTGGCTTCATCCATATTAGAAGGCAGCATTCTTTTTTATATATTATATCATCACATTTATAAAATATGAAATATTGATTTGGAACATTTGTTCTTGATGCTATAATCAAAATTATGAAAGTATATGAAAATAATATTCTCAGCATTGAGGGTAGAAAGTGTTTTGTAAAAGAAAGGGAGGAAACATTTGTTATGTATACAATCAATGTATACAATACATTATGTACAATATATCACTGTGATATTATAATCAATTGTGACACTGTGAAATTCTAAACATAACTGCATATAATTGTGATCAATCAATGAGATCTTATCAATTAGTATGATGTTCTTAATAAATACTTTTAAGGACATAGCTGGGAATTTAATTATGAATTCTGACAGAAGCATTAATTCTCATATATATATATTTTAAGTAGTAGTTAAATATATATATATATCTATTTAGTTATATCCTAATTTTGTTTTGAAAAATCTTGAAGTACATCATTAATAAACATGTGAAAGTGACACATGACAAGTGTAGTTGCTTTTGATCAACTACACTTTTAGTAGTAAAGATAAAAAGCAAAACTTTTTATTTTTAATTTACTAAAGCACAGTAAACTTTTTATTGCATTAATTTTTATTTCATATATACAAAATTAGATGTAGTGGAACCTTGCTTAATGAGTATAATGTGGTCCTAATTCTTAATTGTAATGCGAAACAATCTTTTCCATAGAAATCAATATAATAATGTTATTTATTATTTATAATACATTCTTTTTTACAATACACAATTCTTTTTTACAAGTTATCTAAACTTTTTTTTTTTTTTTTTTTTTTTTTTTTTTTTGCCTGTGCTTCAAAAAATGATTAAAATGAGATGCAGCTTTATCATTAAATAAATTTGTAGCGCATATAGCTATTGCCTTATTAGGGTGATACTTCTCAATGTATGATGCAACAGTTTCCCATGCTTTCAGCATCTCCCTTTCTTCACTGCAAAGTTGTTGCTTTGCTGATGCAATTACTTCCTTCCTTCTCTGACAAAATCGCCTCCACAACTTCTTGCTTTGACATAGATTGTCGCTTCATAAGGTCTTCATGGTCAGCTCTTGGTTCTGCTTTTCCACTAGCTCGTCGATGTTGTTTCTGTTCACCTCTAGCAATCTTGCCCAGACACACAATCTCGTTGATTACAGGCTCCACAGGCATTTTCAAACTCTTTGAAGTCACATTCGAGAATGGTGTCCGGCTAAACTTCTTCCTTGCAGAAATAGGGTTTCTCTTGAAGATCCTCTCTTATGCTTTGTTGACTATCTTGAGGCAGGCAGTTATGTGAAAGCAGTCTTTTCAAGGATCTCTGACAGTAAGACTGGTCAGTTACCTCAAAACAACACTAGAAGAGAGCTTTAAAGATTTTTAAAATTGAAAGTGACCTGCTGTCCATGCACTGCAGTAAAAGGGTGATCTTGGGAAGCAGGGACTGGATCTTGATGAATTTAAATTCTTCAAGGTCATTTTCTATGCCTAGAGGATGTGCCACAACATTGTCCATAGCAAGCAAAACATGGAGTGATGTGTTCATCTCATGCAGATATTTTTTTACAAATGGACTAAACACTTCACTGATCCAGTATGTAAAAAGGTCATGTGTCATTCAAACCTAGTAATTGGATCTCTTCTGGGCTTAATACTTCATCTCTCTTCTGGACTTTGTACTTCATACTTATGGATTGTCTGATTGGTAAATAAACAATGGTTTATTCAAATCAGCACTTGTATTTGCACAAAACCACAATGGCTCAAAACCAAAACTCTTTCATTGGCTTTAGTCCGGCAATTCTTTCTTCTCTGCTTTAATATAAGATTGCTTAGGCATCTTTTTCTAGAAGAGACTTGTCTCATCACAATTAAAAGTCTGCTGTGACAAATAACCCTCAAAATTCACAAGCTTCTTTGAATATGCAGATGAAGTTCTTGTCTGCCTTTATGTCTGAGCTTGCTGCTTCTCTGTGACTGACAAAGCTATGGATGTTGGTTCTTCTTTTAAACTTTTTTTTTTAACCACCTGTGGCTTGCCTTGTATGCTTCTTCTTCGTATGTTGATGATGCTGGCATCTTCTTATTAAGGTCAGCAAAAATTAGTTTTGCTTTCTGATAGATTATGTTTTTGTTTATAGTGTCACCTTGCATTTGCAATTCATATGAGAAACAATTTTTCAAAATCATCAAGAATGTGTGGCCATAGCATAGAATTTTTTCTGACACACTCTGAAACATAAATGTCCTTAATCTTATCCTTGTTTTTAAGCATAATGCAAATCACTCTACAGACAAATTACATGTACTCACGAGGTCAGCCAGGCTTACACCTCATTCACACATTGTTAAGAACAGTGTAAATTGTTGTGTAGGTTGATTACATGTACTTGCATGGTCAACCATGCTGACACCTCATTCTCCCTTTCTTGATGATTTTGCATGTGACTTCTACTGTAATTTTTTCTTCTTTTACTCTGTCTTGCAGCATTTTCTTCAGGGACAAACATGTAAGCATGCTTTAACTTTGCCCCACTAAAAAAAGTACACAATAATGTGTCTGAATATAATTTTCACAAGAGACAGTAAGATACTAGCTGAACAAGCTGTAAGGTAGTTGAGCTCTAAGGTGGTGCTAAACTGAATAAGCTCAAAGGGTGGTTGCTACAATAAGGTCCACTGTATTTTCTAAATGGCTTACTAACAGTTTTCATTTTTTTTTTTTTTTTTTTTTTTAATTTACACTAAGTTGTTAACATTCAAATTCTTTTCCTTTCAGGTAAATACTACTGGAACATTTAATGTTAATAGATTAGCTGTTGAATTATTGGCAAAAAATGAACCAAATGAAGATGGGCAGAGAGGTGTAATAATTAACACCTCAGGTAGCTCTGCATTTGAAGGTTTCATAGGTCAAAGTGTGTTTTCTTCCTCTGCACATAGTATTGTTTCCATGACTTTACCAATGGCTCGAGATCTTGCATCAAAAGGCATACGTTGTTGTACTATAGCTCCAGGTCTGAAAATTTTTATGCTTTTAATATAATTTTTAATTAAGTGAAATGAAAATACTACTTTCTAAATTCTGTTTTTGTTTTTCATGAAGTATGGAAATCAAATTTCCTAGATTAGTATATCAGTCTTGTCTAACATCAGGCAATCTTTCTGATTTTCTAAATTACCTAAAAAAATTTTTCAAGAATTAAAATGTATTTCTATAAATGTGTGCAAATATATATGCAGTCAAAAATCCTTAATCCGGATTCATCGGGATTTTGGCGATTCCAGATTATCGGTTTTTCCGGATTATAGATCAAATTACTCAGATTACCATAAATGAAACAACTTTACCAAAATACAAGGGACACCCTTAAATCTACTCTAATCATCCCCCCCGAAAGTTATTCAATCTTAAAAATCATCTTCACAGAAATGATTTTCTTATGCTTTACACAGTCTATGTGGCTTGTGATTGTTTTTCTTACCATGTTACTAAATATATTTTTTTAGCAAAACATAAAACTTGCCATGTTAGGTGCTCCTTTAACAAGTTGCAACCATGGACTTCACTGAGGATTGAGATTAGAATCTGCCCAATCTGGATTTAAAATTTTTTGCAAATATTTAAAAAAAAAAAATTCAAGTACTTTTTACAGTACAAAGTCCGTAATTCGGACTCATCAGGACTTCGGCGATTCCGGATTAAGGTTCTTTCCGGATTATAGATCATTAATTTAAATCTGGTAAGATGGCATGCAGAAATTATAAAATTAAAAATATGAAACCATAATTTATGAAATAAAGAGCAATTATGATCTAAAGGGTATCAAAATTTACAAAAAAAAAGAGCTTAATATTTATTTGTTTACTTTATTAAACATTTCTTTCAACGCGCGCATGCGTAAAGCATACATTACGCATAGTCGAAATTAGAAAACTGCAACCAGAAAACTATTTGATGTGTATTCGTGATATTTATAATGACGAGGAATTTGATTTAAATCATATCAAAGACGGAATATATCGAGATGAAATACTACATTTAGTAAGGAATTATAAGCTGAATAAAATAAAAAATCTGCCCTGAAGATGAACTTCCAGTTCATTGCGTGCCGCAACATTCTCTCCCCCCTTCCCCGCAGAGCAGCGTGAAATTGATAAACAGATTTCAGAATGGTTAGAGAAACAAAGGATAAGCCTTTATCCATTTTTTGCAGCAATTCCACTTTTTGTTTGATGGATATCGAAACATGCTTTTGCTTTGTAGATCCTTTGGCATCTCCAGAATTGGAAATTCTTTTTGACATAATCGAAAGTTCAAGTTTACTTTTATAAAATTGCTCTAACAGTCTGCAAAAAATAATAAGCGGGATCCAATTAGAAGATTAAGGAACAACACAATCTGCAACATTAACTGAAATAGATAATTAGATAATTTTACCTTAGCTTATACTGTCCGTTATACATTAAACGCGCATGCGTAAAGGTATGTGCATACGTAAACGTGATGCTAAAGCAAAGTTTAAAGTTTAAAGAAATTAAACATTTAGCAGTAGTAGCAATAAAAGCTCCCTGAGATATCATGTTGTGCAGACATTGAAGACAATAAAAGATTTTGAACTTAACCAATTTATTAACAATATAATAAAGAATAAAAACACAGAAAATAAATTTCAACAATATCAGAGTCTTAGGAAAAATATAATATAACCATCATTCATCAAATAATATTTTTACCTGGTCTCCAAAACACTGGCATTCAATACAAACAAAATGTCCTAAACAGTAATTATGCGGCCTAAAAATGAAGTTGGCTACACATTCAAAACTTCCATGATCAATGGTCGAGAAAAACACCTGAAAATTTAAATCAAGTTCTTGAAAACACTCAAAACCGGCCTAACTCCATTTGCACGAGGAATCGCCTCTCACATGTTTTAAATGCCACCTTTATTGAAGAACATGGATGCCTCCCACAGCAGTCACTCATATGGTAGCCTCTGGAACCAAGGAACTTTATTCTGGAACAATCATCTTATGGATATGAACCAAGGAACTTTTTCCAGAACAATCATCCCACGGACAGGCACCAAGGAACTTTATTCAGGAACAGCCATCCCGCAAACCGGAACCAAGGCACTTTAATCACCGGACTGCATGCATCCTTCTGAAGGGGCTGGAAACCGCTCACTCAAGTGCCAGGAAAGCAGGAACTAGAAAGAGACTAGAAGGGTTGAGCCAGAGCGACGCGAGATATTTATAGCAGAAGTAGGCATGACGTCATCTCACGGCAACCAATCAGCTATCGGCACGAATCGGCTTTCCAGATGACGTAACATCACGTTTCGTTTTTTATATCTCAATTAGGTTGAAACAGTCCGTTCTCAACGCAAACAGTGGCAGCAAGAAAAAGAAGTAGAAGTAACTAATATATTACTTTAAAATAAGAACTAAACTAAATAAACATTTCAAGGAGGAGAGATGATGCAGTAAAAGGTTTAAAATAAGCTATATTTTCCAACAAAACGCATGTGCGCATGCATAAACGCTATGCATGCGTAGAAAGTTTGTAGCTTTGAGGTTCGGATTATAGATCATTCCGGATTAAGGACTTTTGACTGTATATATAATTTTTAAATTGGTAAAAAGTGTTTTGCGTGGAGAACAAAAAGGCATTTCAATGAATGTTTGTTGATTATTTGAAGAATAATTATTTGATTATTAAGCATCATTTGAGTTAGCGTTTCTGTAATAATATAGATAATTCCAAGAAATAATCTGTAATCTCATTTGTGTACCATATATTAAGAGTGATTATTAGCAGATGAAAATAAATTTAAAGAAATAATTGTAATTAAATAAAATTATTTTCATAAAAAATAATGTAAGCAGTATAGATAATACAGTCAAAAGTCGTTAATCCGGAATGATCTATAATCCGGACCTCAAAGCAAAAAACTTTCTGCGCATGCGGCGTGTTGACACATGCGCATAGGCGTTTACGCGTGCGTGTAAGACCTTTACGACTGCGCATATGCATTTGTGCAAGTGCAGAATATGTTTTCGCGTGCGCGTTTAATGTATAACAGACGGTATAAGCTAAAATTATCTAATTATCTATTTCAGTTAATGTTGATGATTGCGTTGTTCCTTAATCTTCGAACTGGATCCGGCTTATTACTTTTTTCAGACTGTAAGAGCAATTTTATAAAAGTAAACTTGAACTTTTGATTATGTCAAATAGAATTTCCGATGCTGGAGCTCACAAAGGATCTACAAAACGAAAGTATGTTTCGATGTCCATCAAACAAAAAGTGGAATTGCTGCAAAAAAATGGATAAAGATATGAAGAAGGTGACAGAGAGGTTAGTGAAAACGAAAAAATTTCGAGTGACAAGTTAGTCGGTATTCTCGGCACAGCAATTACGGGACTTGAACAGCAACTTTGTAAGTGAACAAAAATTATGTCTGTTTATAGAATTAAAGAGAAAGTATTATCACATAAAACGGAAACAACTTACATTGAAAGAAATGTTTTAATAAAGTAAACAAATAAATATTAAGCTTTTTTTTTGTAAATTTTGATACCCTTTAGATCATAATTGTTCCTTATTTCATAAATTACGGTTTCATATTTTTAATTTTAGAATTTCTGCATGCCATTTTAACAGATTTAAACTGAGCTCTGTCTCCATTAAATGAAATTCTAAACTAATTCAAATTTAGCATCCTTGAAAGTTCGTAACATCTAACCATTGTTAAACATTTACTGCTTTAAAATGATAGCAATAAATCATTATGTAAAGTAAAACTGTTTATTTCCAAATAAAATTGCAACCAACCCATACATCATGACAAATCGAAAATGTTCTAAAAAAAGAGGAAAAGTTGCCACTCAGCCCCCCAAAAAACCATAAAAGTTCAAAACTTTTTTAGACTATAATTACTATATATGCAAAATAATAAATAAAATGGAACCAGTCATAAATCTTACATTGAAACATATCTCATACAAGATCATAGCATTGTCAAGGGAAGCCAAAATAGTTTTTATTATTATTATTATTATTATTAGGATTCCATAACAACTTGTATGTCATGTTTACTTAAAATTTTTTTGACATTCCTTTCCATTATGGCTCTTTCAGAAAATGTAATGTAAATAATAGTTTATCAGGAAAATGGCCAGTGATTTTATTTATGATTCTGTGTTCTTATCCTCAATATCTTGATGCTGAGTAGTATAAAAAGGCTTTTCAAATTCAGCTACTGGATTTGGGTCTTAGTTGTATTGAAGTCCACTACAGTAAAATTTCCTACCAGAAGATTTTTTTTTCCATCAAGGGAAACATAGAACTTATTCACAAATGTCTATATTTGATGTCATTTATATCTTGTGTTCAACATGGAAAGGTACCACCAAAATTTGTATTAATAATGATTTAAAGTAGAGTTTTTCTTCTTCCAAAAATGAAATTGAAAATCACATGCGAGGGATGGACAAATAATCATTGATAAAGCATAAATCATCTTTGTTGATGGATCAATAAATTTTAAAGAATTTTTTGACATCAACGAAAGTTTTTCTGCAGAACAAAGAAGTATTAAAATATCATTGGGGAACTTCTAAATAATGGTGATGATGAGATAGGCAATGAGGGAAAAAAAAAAAAAAAACTGCATGGAAAGGTCCCTTTTCACAAAAGCAGCTAAAACATTAAAAGCTCTCCCTCACTGTGTTCAGCATACTGATGCTTGTAATTTTATGCATTCTTGTTTCAGCGAATTTTAAAAAGCAGAAGGGAGAATAGTCTTCAGTTTTACTTTGTTGTGTAGCGAATTTAATTTAATTAAGTGATTCATAAAAATCAAAATTTTAATTTGTAATTATTCAAAATTTGAGCTACACAGGTTTGGTTATATTCCTTTGGGCCTATTAATTCTAGTGTAATATATTTTGGCTTTCCGAGTTTACGCGAACTGCGTCTTCAATCTTGTACATGCAAACAATGGATAA